AAATAAAAATACCATACTCTAGGAGAATTGTGTGTGTTTTTATGAGTACAGCCATCAATAATTTTATCAAATATTTCATCAATTTTATCAACCATCAAGTATTTTATCCTCAATTTTTGCCAACTTTTTAATGAACATTTAACATGAGGAATTGAACATTTAACATGAGGATAATTGAGAATTCTGCTTCAAAGAAAGATTTATAAAACCCTGAAAACACTCTGTCCTTTCAAATGTTACACAACTTCGAACTTTCGTGGTTGCTAAAAATTGTCTCGATTTTGTTTTATTTTCGTTCTAAAAATCACAATCAGAAACGAAATTTTATAAGCGAAAATTTGAGAATTATACTAATATTGTGTACTTTAAATATTGTTATGATAATGTTATGATAATTACAATTTATATTTTTAAAAAATAAAATTAAGTATATCAAAAAATATCGTTTTGTTGTTAAAACATTATTTTATAATAATGGTTAACAGGTTGTTCAAAATGTAGATGTAGCCGTAGCCTTTTACTGTACAACCATTAATCCTTAGATTACAACAATTGTAATGGTCTTATTATATTGTAAAACAATACCCGCTGGGGTTTCCTTTTTATTCAAAAAAAGAAAGAAAAATTATTCTTTAATTGTACGAAATATGTAAAAATTTGTATCCATTAACAGCACAAGGTTTAACTAGGTTAGCAACTTAACTGTAACTATTAAACCGCGTTCTAAGAATATGTACCAGTGTTTTCCGTTTCTAACCAAGAAATTTTAAAATGAAGAAGTTATTTATTCTAAACGCCGTTAAAATTTTACTATTAACCTTATTATATAATACCCCTTTATTCATGCCCTGCAGTAACTTATTAAATCAATCTCATATTCAAGAAGTGGAGTAGTTTTTATTGACAGCCGTCACTAAATGCTTTGTTAAAGATGATAAAGACATCACTTCCGCGTTGATTATGTAAATGACAAAAGTGTGCTACTAAGTTAAATTGCAGTTATAGCTGTGAATAAGTTTTTCTTTAAAATGAGGTCTTCTAATTTTGTTTTTCTTTTAGGTTTGATTTATGTAATATCAATATTATTGAATTACTTTCCATATCATTAGCTGTTTTTTATTTTATTTTTTAAACTAATATTTATACTAATATATTATAATTCAAAAGAAGTTGTGAATATGATTTTATTTGTTTTAAGTATTTCTAACACAGTGATCGTAGTCAGGGGTCTGTTTAGAAGATAAACGAAACCCTTCACAAAATATCTTTTCATAAAAACGGACCGTTCACAAAATATTTTAACTTAAAAACGGACCCTTCGCAAAATGATTTTTCTTTTAATCGGATCCTTCACAAATTTGTTTATCTTCATTATTATTTTGTTAATCGAATAAACCCTTTCCAGGGCAAAAAACAAGAAAGATGGATGTAAACGAATTAAGTTTTGTCTTCGGCAGACGATTCTTCCATTATTCGTCCGAAATTAATATTCTGCGTTCAGCAGTATAGGCTAAATACCAAATATTTGTATGTTGCATCTCTAATTTAGAAGCAGCAATTGTTGTTTATTTTTTAAAATTTAATTTTTTTAATTATAATTTTACAGTGTTGAGCATAATCTTGTATGTCTTTACAATTTAAAAACTCCTTGAAAAAGTTTTTTTTTTGCAATAACGGACCCTATTTGCACAAATTCATAAAAGCGGACCCTGGTTGAAAGAATGTGAGTAATTTTTTCACAATTTCATGAAAAACGGACCTTTCACAAAATGTCTGGACAGACCCCTGGTAGTTGTCCTGATATTCATAATAAAACTATTTTTTCCTGATTTTTAGAATTTTGTCTTAACACTCCTGATTTTTGTATGTATTCAGAACATATTTTTTTCTAACAATTCAGTGCGGATTTTTTTTTTTGAAAAATACATTTTATATTAGAAAGATTTATCAATACTAAGTTTTTTTTTAAAATTAATAATGCTATTAATAATTGCAAAATTCTAAAATTCAATCTGAGGGACCGACCGTCTGTACATGGTTCAGCGTATATATTCTTTCTGGCTCAATTCATTGTTTCGAACTTTTTGAAAATTCAATTCTTTAATTCAAAAAGGAAAGGAAAAAAAAACCGAAAAGCAAATTTACATAATCAAATTTTTATGATTTGGTGTGTTATGGGTCCATACGCTTCTTTGTTATTTTTCAGCAAATGCAGCAACAAATCTTGTTGAGTTTAGTTCCTTCCTCCTAATTCTTGAAAAGATCTACCTTTTTTATCATTGATTGCAATCAAGAATAAAGAAATCATATCACTGAATTTTTAAACGGTGAAAAAAGGGATCATCCAGCAAATTATATACACTGTACAAAAATGTTAAGCCGCACATTTGCTGTGTTTTATGTTCAGAGATTATTGAAATTCTATTTTAGTAATTATTGGATTAATATATAGTCCTGCACTTGATTATGAATCTTAGTGTAAAGAACGTTTACTAATTGATAATAGTTATTCTTTAATTGAAACTAATATAAAAAATTTTATTCATTGTTCCCGATTGCTGTTCTGTTCTTCCTTAATAAAATTATTCTGAAAACTTAGAACCTTCTGTTCTAAAAACAAAGTGATTCCGATATTAAAAGAAAAGAATATATTATTGTTCATTTGCGATAAAATAGGTGTTTATTTGATCGAAGTTGAGCAAATTTTACTTTTTACTTGTCGTTTTCTCTAAATTAATCTGGTATACATCTATATGTACTGTGCCAAAAATTTCCTGAACTGAAATTTTTAAAAAAATGCCCTGATTTTTCTTCGGTTCACTACAAATTACTACTACTACATGAAATCGTTTAAGAATTTTGTCGAATTTCAATTCGTTTGAAAACGATCGTAAGTCATTAAGAAAATTATCGTTTCCAATTTAATATATTACGTAACGTTCGTAAAATTTTTGTTCTTAAGTGGGCTGCTAAAAACGGGTTAATAAAATGGTCAATTATATGGCGACTTTTTACAACCCTATTTTAGATCTAATATTCTTTTCCATACCTAAATTTTATCTACGATATTGCTAAACAATTCAGCAAGCAGAGATTCTTATATTTGGTGGAATTTAAAATTGACTTTTTTTAAACTTAAATGTTTATTTTGTCGTGTCAAAGGGTCGTATTAATTTATGTCAGCGCAGGTGCTGATTGAACCGCCCTGGGCTGAACCTCAGAAATTACTCGAATTAGGAGGCCCTTTTGTTAGGGTAGATAGAGGTCGCAGCACACTCATATATATATTTTATAGTATGTTATATTCTTCGCGTAAGAAATATTATTTGAACTTTTGTTAACTTATACTTACTTGTTCTTGTTTTTATTTAAAAGAAAAAATATTTGTAAATATTTGCATGAAATATTTTATTGATTAAACCATATGATCCATTAAATTTAAATGACATTTTTATTTACTGGTTAATTAAAGAAATTCATCTATATTTTATTTATTATTATTTTGAAATCTTATGTTTTTAAAGACCTGTAAAATAACCCTCTTAACATATAATATACTTTAACGATATATATATATATATATATATATATATATATATANTTTAATTAACATTCGTTTCGGCCCATAGAAGGTCCTGTGAGAGATAAAAAATAATTCAATATATAGAAAAATCCGTTTTTTATTACTTCAATGCATACTATTAGTTATTGTAATTGTCTCATAATCCGATTAATTTGTAATTAATTTGATATTTAATTAATTTGCTAATTAGTAAATTATTCGGAAAATTAATTAATTATTAATTAATTGTTAATTAATTATTAATTAATTGATTTGCAATCACATACTCCAATTAATTTGGAAAATTTTTTAAGAAAGAAATTTAAAAAATTTGATGTCAATTTTTTTTTTTTTTTAAATTAACCCAACAGGTTTTTCTGATAAACTACAGATAAATAAAATTTTCGAAATCAATTTTGACAATAAATATGCATTATATAGTACGTGAAAGTACCACAAATTTAATTGGAGTATGAGCAATTACAATAACTAATAGCCTGCATTGAAGTAATAAAATACCGATTTTTCTGCATATTGAATTATTTTTTATCTCTCATAGGACCTTCTATGGGCCGAAACGAAAGTTTCCCCCTAAAATTATTCCTTATAGGCATACATCCCACTAGTTTATTTTAATATTGGCGAGTCACACTTCCCTAGTTTCCCTTGTAAGTTCTTTACATTCTTTACAATTATTTATTGTAAAAATTTTACTGCAAATCGAAGCATTTTTTTAAAATAATTTATCTTTAAATTGTTTCCTACATTTGCGTATAGAGTAAAAAACGGTGTTTTCAGATGAAAACTTGCTGTACTAAACAATATATGACCCTTAATTTTATTTTGAAAACCCGTAAAAGTCGGACATTTTCGCTTGAAATTGATCAATAACCTTCCATTTAGTATTTATTTTAAAAATTATATAAATTTTTTTTCTTTTCGCTATTTGTCGAACTAGTTAATTTGCATTGTTCAATAAATTCAACATGAGCATTTTACCCACAAAAAATTTATCTTTAAAATAGAATGAAAAAAAAAAGAAATTTAATGAAAAATTAGCATGATTTATATTTATTTACATTTTAAATTTATAAACTCGGAAAAAAATTTACTTGTGGCTGCTTCAAAAATTTCTAATAACAACAAATGATGTAATATTTTTATGTATAAATTGTCTTTCTTCCATGTTTTAGGAACAATAAATATTGATTAGCGATTGTCGTGAAAAATGTCAGCAAAATACTATAGTCTCTTGTTGTATTATAAAAATAGTTTTATACTTGCACGATATCATATAAGCTTGCACTAGTGTTTTAAGAAATGTATTTATTTTTTTATTCTTTACCTTTCCCTTGCACGTTTCTCTATTCTAAACTTGTATTAAAATTTCCTGTTGTGTGTGTATTGTTCCTTAACTTGAATGTTTTGCTCCCTTTAGTTCCCAAACTGCCCCCGAAAAGATTCCTTCTGAGGTTGGACAAGAGGTTGATCCCTCAACAGGAAGGTAATAAAAAACAATCTATAGTTAACTGCAATTATAATAAGTAGACTATTAATCATAGATGAAAAAAATTAAGCATGCATTGATAACGTGGTTTGTTATTGAGAATGATATAAGTCTATATTAGAATTTTTTTTTTGCATGTCTATTTTTTTAAAAAGTTTTGAACTAATATACTGTAATAAATAATCCCAAGAAACTGAAGCGGTACTTGATTAAAAACTTCATTTGCTTCAAAAATACACAAATTACAGGGCTGATTGTGCTTCGGGAAAAATCCTGATTTCCGGATCCGGAAGTTTCTGGAAATCATTGATCACATTTATACATAAGAATTCTTGTATGTTTTATTTAAAAATATTAGAACTAGAATTTATACTAGGCATCTCTTCCATTTGCAAATATTTTTGTTTATAGAATAATAAATATAGTTAAAGATAAAAGTAAAATTATACATAATTATTATTTTAAATTATGCTGCATATAATTTACTTAGAATTTCATGTTTTGAAAATATCAATGATTCAAATTTATATAGACATTAATTTTTTGAAATGCTTCATTAATGATTTTAAAATAAATTTTCAAGATTTTTGAGTTGGGCTCACTATCACTCCTGCAAATTGGAAGTTACAGTTGACATCTTTCAAGCCTTCAAACTTGCCGAACATTGCCAGACATGAATGAAAAGAAACAAAACGGATTTGAAATATAAAACGTAAAGTTGCCATCGAAAAAATAAAGAATGGAAACAAAATAAGAAAAACTACAATAGCCGAGAGAGAGAAAAAAATCAAAACAGAACAAAAAAACAAAGCAAAAAAAAAAAACGTAAGAGACAAATTAGGGTAAAATGCATTTTAGTGCGTTATAGAGAGGTAGCGAGGAACTAATGTCGTTAACAAGGGAATTAGCATTCATGAATAACCAAAGATTCCAAGGAATCAAGATGAGCTGATGTGACTTGGGTAAAAATAATTCTGATATTGTCGAAAGTGAATTTATACCAAAAATTTCAACCATGTGTAGCGATTGAGAATTTCTCGTATTCTTGATAACAGACATATCTACTACTGTAGTTTTTCTAGTTTTGTTTCCCCGCCTTAATTTTTCCGTTACAAACTTAACGATTTATGTTTCATATCATTTATGTTTCTCCTCATTCACCTATGACAACTCTGGGAAATGGGCGCCTATTTTTATCGACTGTTATTTCTAATTCGCATATTTTTGATGTGAATGAAGTTTTTAATCAAGCATTATCGTATTGTGCACTTAACATTACGTATACCATACGTAGGGCTAATCACGTTTTCGTTGTGCATGTAAAGCTCTAGAAGGATTTAAAAACACTAATTTAATATGCGTATAGAATTTGATTTTAAGTTCTTTTTTAGTTACAAATATTTATGAATGATGTTTTTCGCACTGAGCATTAGGAACTAATAAAGAATCGAATAGAAGAATTTAATATAAAATAAAGGATAACAGTTCTCTAATTGTTCGCCGAGTTACTCTAGGACAAGTCGTTGAGAATTACAATTTTAAAAATTTCCGTTTCAATTGACGTAAAACATTCAGCTGGATTCAGCAATCAAAAAAGCTAGAATCAAAAATTTAAAAAACATTTAGCTATCAAAAAAGATCTTTAACAGTTAAGAAAATTTTGTTCGAATTGCAAAGATAATTTTGTTCGAACTGCAGCGTTACGAAAATATGTGTCATTTTCATAATTTTTATATTTTATGAACATAATCTGAAGGTTATATTAACTTGCATCATGACATCGGTTTAATAAAGGATCATGCGAAACTATCGTTGTTAATTTTCTTGTCTGACTGATGAAGGTTAATTAATACACAAAGTAAAAAACTTAATATTCGATGTCAGACAAAATACTCATTATTGAAAATAAATTATAATTAATTATAAAACTGATATACTACCTCTACGACTACGTGTTAACAGGGGAGAATTTGATTAAAATTAGACAATTTTAGTGATTTTAATTTATTAATTTTTAAATGTGTACGTTAGTAGACTTGAAATACTAAGTCTTAGGTTTTATGACCTAGGGATTATTTTATTTACTAAAAAGAAAAAAGTAATTCGAGATTTTCTTGCTAGCGGTTAATTATTATTTTAAATCAAGCTGCAGATTTAATACTCGTTTGCCACTTCTTAAAAAAATTTAAAAAACTGAGCGTTTTGTTTTGATTAGTTGCCACACAATGCAGACAAATAACAATCGCTTTGTTTTAGTTAAGTTTACAGATTACGCAGGCAAAGTGCAAAAACTGTTATTACTTCATGTGAGATTTAAAAAAAATTTTTTTTAATGAAATGTTGTACTTAACAATGTTTTTTTTATTTGGCATACTTTTGTTAGCAACCATTATATCCATACGGAATCCATGATCCATCCATTTTATGAATCATTGGCTTTTAAAATGGCTTTATGCATCAAATACCCCAATCACGTTTTTTACTTAAAATATTATGTTATCCAATTAATTTTACTATGCATTGTATATTGCATGAGTTTAAGCATTTATTATTATTTTACACTTGGTAGAATTGTCCTTTTCTTAGGTAGAAATGCCTTTTGTTTTAATTTTTTTATCTCTAAATTTATAAAGTGCACATGGCCTTCGACCAAATAATTAAAGTAAAACTTAGATTGACTCATTCGGGGCGTGTTTTTAAATCTGGATTTATGTGGTGTAATCAAGTTTTCTTTTCCCTTCACGAATTATTAATTCAAGGTTATCATAATTAATGATGATTCTTGAGCCATTAATATTGAGTTAATTGTTTGTCTCTTAAACTGAAGCAATGGTCTATAATTCCAATCTCTCATTCACCAATGAAAAGAGAGAAAAGAAAAATACTGATTTAAATTGCAATTACAAATATTTCAAATTAGTTATCTATTTGATCTTATAGATGTACGATGGCGCTCAACAAAAATTCACTTGACATTTCGAAACGATGTTTTTCTGTCAAGAAAATTACTGAAAATTGCATTTTCATGCTACAAACATGAAAAATTAAAGTGTGCTCGGGTCAGAGTGGTGTATTAATAATCTTTTAAATCCTGTTAGCTTATTTAGTTACGTTTTAAAAACTAGTGTATCACCTTCTGAAAAGTTTCCAGCAAATTGCATTCTCAAATCCGTCATTAAATAGTATTAGTTATTATAAGAATAAAATTAGTTCTGCCAAATAATATTATGGATTAAGAAATATTAATGAAAAATTACAGTTTCTTTTCAAATGGAATATGTGTATATTATTCTCTAATTTATTTCTTAATATGTTTTTTATAAAGTTACTTTTAATTATGTTTGACATCCATTGTTTAATTCTTCGATATATATTTTTTAAAAATCTATCTTATTATATAAAACACTAATACCGTACTATGCATGTAGATCTTATAACCGTCGTTGAACAGCCGACCCAATTTTTTGGGTATATTCAACTCCGAAGCCTTGTAATTTTGAACCCAATCCAGAAGACAAGGACTCCTGGATCAAGTATTGGGAGAAATTTGCCTTTGGGGAGAATTTTTTAATGGAACTAATCTACATTTGCGTTACATGGTGAAGAAAACCCCGAAATCCTCCCACAGTTAGTTTGACAGCAAGGTGACTCTAACCCATGATCCGTCTACCACTGAGGATATTTTAAATTAGCACTGTGGTCGGTGTGAGCCGGGTGTAGATTGTTAAAAATCCGACCGTTTTACTATTAAAAGTTTAACTTTTTATAGGTTTTCTGATGGATGGGGCGGAGTATATGTAACTTAGAAACTTAGCTAAAATTATTATTTCCTCCAAAACATTTATGTTAAAATGTTTTATGTTTTTTTTTTATTATGTTTTTTTTTTCTACCCTTGAATTTATAAGTTGAAGAACCGGAGTAATTTGTTCTTAAACTGTATTAAATTTATGATTAATGCAGTACTTGTACAGTAAATAATGTTTAAAACAAACAAATACGACAATGTTAAATTCTATATTTTTTTGCCTTTTTGGTCATTTTTATAGTTTTGGTATCAAATTTTTCATAAGTCAAATGGTTATAAAATTTTTCAAAACATCATCCTTTTGAAAAACGAACTAAGTGACTCCTATTAAATTTTACCAAAATTGTTAATATTAAGATGAAGTTGCGAAAGATGCAGTGCTGCCATCTATTGAGTATTTTAATTGTGTGGAGGAAATTCTTGATGAAACGTCTCTAAAATAAATATATTATTTTTCTTTAATGGTGAGAACTATGCTAAATGCATTGCTTACTAGTATAGCTTACCACATCTCTTTTTTTTTTTTTTTTAATATTTTTGATCTTTTTAAATCTTCAGATTTTATATATGCTTTATTAAGGACACCTTAGTTCAGTTCACAATTACGAAAAAGCTATTCTCATGTCATACTGTCAAACACATCAGTTGATAAGCTTAAACAATTGTTTTAACACAGTTGTAATTTATTACACTGTTTTCTTATCTTTTTGTAATTTATTGCACTGTTCTCTTATGTCTAATTAACGAGAGCGAATTTGTAGTGGGGATAGCAGCGTTCTAAAACAATCTCCAATTATAAAACATCAGAAAACTCAATGTAAATAAATATTCTGTATGACCGATAATATATAATAATTAATATATTAATATTAATATATTAATATTAATATATTAATATATTAATATTAATATTCCGATAATATATAAATGACATTTTCTTATCATTCTGGTTAAAATCTGCCGCTTCTTATGCAAAGTTAAGTTAGTATTGCTTAATGCCATTATCCTAAATTTTTTGTGTTCTTCTGGAATTGTACCTAATGCAATAATAAACATTTGTTTCCAATTAATCCAACAATGTTTAATCATTAGTTTTAGGCCATTTTTACTTTCGTATATAAGGATTTCAGAATTTTATTACTATACTAGCCGCTTTTGGCGATCAGCTTGGTCACCTTTCAAAATTATCTT